AGAGAGAGAGAGAGAGAGAGAGAGAGAGAGAGAGAGAGAGAGAGAGCGAGAGCGAGCGCGCGCGAGCATGCGTGCTTGCATGCTATTGCATCTATTTTTTCTATTTTGGTTCTATCAAATTCTGTTAATTTATTCACAGGGTTTATTATTATTGATCTTTTGTGTTATGAATGTCATATTGTGTTTTGTATTGTCCTATCTTGCTTGGATTTTAAGATGCTGTAAGCTTCCCAGAGAGCCTACGCTAGTGGGGCGACATATAAACTGAATGAATGAATAAATTAATGAACGAATAACATAGAAAAGACAGACAAGCTGCAGATTTTTAACTTAGGCTATTGCTTTAAAAGATGGATTCTCTAAACATTATTACCCCTGTTTCAAAGTCCTACTTCCTCTTGGTTTTATGAAGCACATTGCTCAAGTGAGCTGGGAAGGTGCTTCTGCATCCACAGGCTTCTTGTGCTTTCATGTGCTGATCAAAGTTGTTGGATTTGATTATATGTAGCCGGATTTTCTTAACCCACAAAACCTTAATCACAAATATAATTTTGCCATAATGGTGTTAGTGAACATGGGCATATAGTGTTGTGTGGTTGAAATCAAAAGGATAGTAGCTATCAGTACACCTTTACAGTCATACACAGAGGCAGATATAAGGCCAATTCACAAACTGGATAATTTAGTTGCAGGAATAGTCACCTGACAGCAATGATCCATATCCCTGTGAATGAGTTCAATACAAATCAAAATATCCTTCCACTAGGAAAGAACAACTGCCATACAGAAAGTCACAATCTCCCCAAAATTTGCGTGAGGCACCAAGAGAAGATTTGGGCTACAGACAGGTGCCTTGCAGCAATTTAGTTTTTTATATAAACTTGAAAGCACCCATGCCTATTTTTTTACTTTGTTCCCTACCTGCACGGCAAATAAGTTTATATTCCATAAGATGTCAAGCAGTTCAATAAGTAGGTGCATATTTTTATCCAGATTCACATGTGCTCTTAATATTTTTTTAAAAGAATCTGTAGGTAGGTTTGATTTTGGTAGGATAGCATGTTTTTAAATTACTTATCTCCCATCCTCTCGAAATGAGTGGATCCTGCTTTCCTCCCTTTGAAAATATTATATCTTGACAGTCACATGTAACAAAAAGACAATTATTTTTCTTTGTTTTTCTTGCCAGGTTGCAGCTTAATTGGCTTTACTTGCTTGTACTGCAGCTAGACACACTAGATCGAATATGAATCTTCTAAAGACTGTATGTTCGCATTTTAAAGGAGTGTCTCATATACTTTTAAGGTGTGTTTCATATATTTATTCTTAAGAGCTTATGGCTACAGTGTAGAGAAATATATTTATAAAGTAAGCCCCTCAGGGCAAAGATTTATCTTCTGGTTCTTTGCAAAATGCTATATGCATTTATGACATATATCTATATCAATATACATATAAACATACAGAAAAAGAGAGAGAAACAAGTAAAATAAGAGCCAAACAGGTTTCTACTGATTGTTTAGCATATCACTGAGTTAGTGCTCTACTTACCCTACTGTAAGTATGCATAGTTCTGAGTTGGATCAGGACCCCCACACATGGGGAAGGGAAGTAGAAACAAATGAAAAGCCTCTAATTATGTCAATGACGTTATTTTCCTTTTAATTCTGTTATATGGTGTTGAGGGGAGAGTTTAATACCTCACTACTGTTCCCACTCTGAAGTGAGGCTTCAATTAGAGTAAGGAAAGAACAACTTTAGCAACAGTTTCAGCAATTGGGTGGTAGAGAAATATAATAAAACAAACATGCTACATGCTTTGGATCCACTCTACTACTTTCCCTTCCAATCAGTAGCATCAAAACTTCCTTAAGCACCCTCAGAATAAATGGTTCCAATCCTTAGCATTGCCAATGCACAGGCTGCTCAGAGAAGTCATTAACAAGAACAATGTCTCTGTTTGGACAATTTCATTGATCTTCAAGAGTTAAAACCAATTTAGAAGGAAACGTATTCACGATTCCAAGTTTCAAAACATTCTGGCTACTAAGAATTTGGCAGTAAATCAGTATTCTAGAACAGTGATATTTTTTTCCTAGAAAGTACTACGTTGATAAACACGGGTGGCTTTGGACAAATCACTTTCAAACTGAATCAACCTATTCCCACCACCCTGGTCAAATGAAACTCCCTAAACTTACTGGAGTGAGAAGCTACAATGTACTTTTTTTGTTGTTGTTAGTCACAAAGTCGTGTCCAACCCATTGCGACCCCATGGACAACATTCCTCCAGGCCTTCCTGTCCTCCACCATCCCCCGGAGTCCACTCAAGCTCACACCAACTGCTTCAGTGACTCCATCTAGCCACCTTGTTCTCTGCCATCCCCTTCTTCTTTTGCCATCTATTGTGCCCAGCATTAGGCTCTTCTCCAGGGAGTTCTTCCTTCTCATTAGGTGGCCAAAGTATTTGAGTTTCATCTTCAGGATCTGGCCTTCTAAAGAACAGTCAGGGTTGATCTCCTCTATGACTGACCAGTTTGATCGCCTTGCGGTCCAAGGGACTCGCAGGAGTCTCCTCCAGCACCACAATTCAAAGGCCTCAATTCTTTGGTGCTCAGCCTTCCTTATGGTCCAGCTTTCACAGCCCCCATGATGATAAGGACATCATTTTTGGGTGTTAATTCTAGAAGGTGTTGTAGGCCTTCATAGAACTGGTCACCTTCAGCCTCTTCAGCACCAGTGGTTGGGGCATAGACTTAGACTATTGTGATGCTGAATGGTTTGCCTTGGATTCGAACTGAGATCATTCTGTCATTTTGGAGATTGTATCCCAGTACTGCTTTTCCTACTCTTTTATTGACTATGAAGGCTACTCCATTTCTTCTGAGGGATTCTTGCTCGCAGTAGTATACCTGATGATCATCTGAATTAAATTCACCCATTCCTATCCATTTTAGTTCACTGATCCCTAAGATGTCGATGTTCAGTCTTGTCATCTCTTGTTTGACCACATCCAGCTTGCCTTGATTCATGGATCTTACATTCCAGGTTCCTATGGAGTACAGATCTTTGCAGCATCAGACTTTCCTTTCACCACCAGATACATCGGTAACTGAGTGTCCTTTCAGCTTTGACCCAGTTGCTTCATTCTTTCTGGTGCTACTAGTACTAGCCCTCTGCTCTTCCCCAGTAGCATATTGGACACCTTCCGACCTGAAGGGCTCATCTTCCGGCGTCATATCTTTTTGCCTTTTGGTACTGTCCATGAGGTTTTCATGGCAAAGATACTGGAGTGGGTTGCCATTTGCTTCTCCAGTGGATCACGTTTTGTCAGAGCTCTCTGCTATGACCTGTCCATCTTGGGTGGCCCTGCACGGCATAGCTCATAGCTTCATTGAGCTACGCAAGCCCCTTCGCCACGACAAGGCAGTGATCCATGAAGGAGACAATGTATTACATTGTCAGAATTGCAACTTCCGAAGTCAGGCAAGGACAAATTCTATCTCCAAAGAGGACAGTCTGTCAAGAGAATCACAAAGCTATGCCAAGTTACCTATCACCTCAGTGAATCTTCAATTGAGATTTTGGATGGTGAGAATTTCAGGGATACTATATTCATTCTGTGACACAAGCTTAATCAAGCATACATACATTCTAGAGCCTGATATATTTGCATTGTTGGAAACTGTGAAATATGCAAACGTATGTCTGCAAAGATATTCATCTACAGAATGATAAATATCTATTCTTTTTCAATGCTTCTCAAACACAGTGCCAGATTTTTAAAGATTTATTGCATTTGTTTATTCACAGCACACAGTGTGAATGTCAATACTGTTTTAAAAGACAATTAACTTAATGAAGATTGAAGAGCCCTGGAAATATCTTCAATATTTGCATCCAAAGAAACTTACCCCTACTCCCTTTCATCCTGTGAAATACAACCAGCTCAAATTTGATTTCTATTCCATGCTACCACTATAAGATTCAGCCAAACTGTCTCCCCAGTTTTTTTCCTGTTATTTTTACAGGAATTAACTACAAAACATCAACAAATCCATGGTTCTTAGAAAACTGGAAATAAACCACTGTTTGCGTATATTAGCTGCA